ACAAAACCTATGTTTTTGAATTGTCATTGGTTGAAAAAAAAAAGCAGTCCAGTCACATAAAGAAACATTTTGGTGCCAGAACGCTTGTAGTAAAGTTCCTGCATTAAGAAGATGAATGGACAAGGTCATTTCCAAAGGGACAGCTGTGTCAGTCCATTGCCACAAGCACAGCTAAAAAGCTAGTGGGATCTTAAAGAATAAAAAAATGGCTTGATTACAGCATAAACTAGATGCCTCAAATCCCCAAATGCTTTAGACTACAACACCCACTATGCCAAGTCTGCTTGGGGTTGATGGGAGCTGTAGTGTGAAACCTCTGAGGGCACCAGGCGGGGAACTGTGGGGAGCATAAATGTGGGAAATAATAATAATGATGACCCAGTGATAAAGTGATAGTGTGATCTAACACTAATCTCTCCGGCATGATACTAAAATGGCGACACCTAAAGAAACCAAATAGCTAACACTAGGAACCGTGCCTTCTCAGATGTGCCCCCTTCCCTTTGGAACAAGCTTCCAACAGAGGTTCATCAAGCATCTTCCCTCTCAGTTTTTAAGAAATCAGAAAAAATAGTATTATTTAAAGCTGCCTTTTATTAGTGCTTTATACCTGAAATGCTCAAATCAATTTAGATTTGTTTAATTTATTTAAAGATAGATTTTAGTTAGGAAGAGGGCTTTATTTATTTTATGGTATTTACTGCAAGATATTTAATTTTATTTATTATAAGTGATTTCAATGTGTTGTAAGCGGTTCAGAAAGTGTATATCCTATGGGATGGTACACAATCTGAAATAATAAATAAGTAAATAATTATCACACATGTATAAAATTTTTAAAATATAGAAAAACCTGGAGGATGATTGAGGGAGGTGAAAGAATTTGGGGCATATTTCCCCATCTTGAACATAAAGCCCCAACTGCCTACATCAACAAAACACCACCTACAGACATGGCATTCCCCATTTTTGCAAAAATGGATCACAACTAATCGCATTTGGAAAAGCCCACTTGAGTTGTTCTAGACTGAAAAAGTAGAAGCCCCCTAGCAGGAGAGGAAAGGGAAAAAGATGCTTTGGGAGCAAAAAGGGCTGGACCAATTTGAATCAGCCTTTGTGGCACAAAGACAGTAAAAAATAGTTTGAGAGTTCACCTGTTTTATAAGCAGAGCAAATCCCGCAGTATTTGATCATGTAGTCACAGCCTATTTTGCAGATTCTACCAACAAAATTTGTATGTGACTTCAAAATCACTTTCTTAGGGAAGGACCAATGTTATTGCGTGACGTTCACAATTAACAATGCACAGAATTGCACTGTGGAATTGTGGAAGGCATTTGGTGAGCACAAGAAAAGAAGCAGAGAGAAAATTGTTCTGAAAATGCCTGAAGTATTCATTATGGCCAATTCATTTCTGCAGTAAAATTCCTTCTTTGCAGAGGCTGAAAAACACTGGCAGATTTGTTAAAACATTAACTCTACATTAATTCAAACATTGTAAACCTATTAAAAGAATCCTTATTGTGATCTCCTTTACTTCGTAAGACGCCTTTACTTCATAAGATTTCATAAGGTGTGCTGCTTTAACAGTCCTTTGGGTGTCTCTTCTGCTATTTAGGATGTTTTAAACAAATACAGTTTTAAGTGTACTTGTATTAGTCTTTAAACTGATCATTAGCCAGATCGAAATGTAGATGGATTTACACCTGTATTCCAGTCCCTCTTCATTTCACTCCCATGTCACTGATGAACAGACATCCTCTGACTGAAACACTTTTTCAAGGCTTCATGGGCTGTTTCTCCCCACAAGATGGGCACACTGGGAATGGCACTTTCTCCAATGCCTCTTCCTTATACAGAAGAATCATGTTCACCACTGTTTTACAGCAGGCTTTCTCATACAAAGGCTCTCCAGAAATTTTAGACTAGATGGCCCATCATCCGCAATCAACATGGTCAATGCTGTGGATGATGGGTTTTGTAATTCAAAGGGTCTGGGAAAGGGTTACTCAGGGAAGGCTGATTTAACTAGAAAGCAGAGAGAATAAAATAAATGGGGAAAAAGAGGAAACCCTTGACACTGAGCAAAATGCTTCTGCCTCATGTCAGCAACCAGTACCAAAAAACTGTGCACACAGCAAAGAGGCAAAGGATCACACAACCAGAAGGAGACACCCTCCTTCTCTGTTACCTTCTTCAGGATATCCCCCTCCACACACAGAGAAACAGATGGAAATATGTGTGTTACAAAGGGAAATGTGCATCTTATTTTCTTCCATGTTCGTGATCACAGAGGGCCAAATTGAACAGTCTCTCCCAAGACACACCATATGAATGGTACTTGTTACATCAACAAGTAGGGTAAGTGCTACTGATTCAATGGAGCTGCTCTAGTTGAAAGAACTACTGGATTTAGTCCAGAGCTTGAAAGCTGCTCAATACTGTATGCATCCTCAGCCCACAATCCACAAGTTCCAGAAAGATCTGCTGATTTGTTCAGAAAAGCATATAATCAATCGTAGCATTTATTTATTTATAAATGACAGGTCCATTGAAAGCTGTTCAAAGCCAAGTAAGGAGAATGCAAATTTCCTCCTCTCACAATATTTTCCCTTCAGCCAAGCAAATGTCTTCAAGCTAAAAAAATTAAATATGCAACAATGCCTTGCTTATCACCTAATAACCCATTACAAAACGAAAACAAAATGCTTGTGAGATTGAAATAACCTCAAATGAAAATGATCAATCTTCTATCTCTTAAGAGAGTTTTGCTTCTAATGATGTGTTAACTGTGATCATTTAGCCCAGAAACAGATATTGAGGATAGACCACAATTAGAGCAAAAAGAGAGAGATCAAGGCAATCTTTCTTCTCGTATGTGAAATCAGACTTAAAAGGAATCTTCCACCTAAATTTGTAAGAACGAATAAACAAAGAATCATAATTTGCGTAATCCTAGACATGGAAGAAACTGTTGTTGTGACACTCAACCACTTTTATTTTTGAGACTTTCCTCTTCTAGTTGTGGGTTATCACTAAAATCTGTTTTTGTTTTTTTGTTTGTTTGTTTTGCCTCAGACTGACCCTTTGAAGTCAATCAAAACACTTGTAGTCCTGGGACACGAAGACTGACAGAGATAATAGAAAGGTGAAGTTACACACCATATTATAAGAGTACAAGTGGGAGAAAAAGATGTCAAATTGCCCGAGTAATACCTCACCACCCCTAACATGCTTTTAGCTCCAAATGATGCTCTACCTCTAAGGCCTATTTCTGAGTGACTCCCATCGCAGAACAAGCCACCTCCCATTGGCCAACTTCCAAGTCAAGGCAACTGATGGAACCTCCTCCTCCTGGCACAGGATGCAGTGGGACCTGGTCCAGGGGAAGGACAACTTATGAACAATGGCAAGCCTGAAAGAGAAGAGATGAAGGACCTCCAGCTGATAAACAGTGCATCTTAAAATGTGCACATAACTTTGCCATAAGTCTGAATAATTATTTTTGGTGTTTGATAGAAACATAATTTACTGGAAAAAGACAGGCCCTCAACGTCCAAAAAAAAAAACTTTTGATGTAATTGAACACAACAAATAAGTAAAGAGAAGTGAAAAAGTTACAGAACAGAGATGGGAGGGGGAGAATCCTAGAGGTTCCACGGATTCTATGAGCTCTCCAGAAAAATCAGTCCACTTTTAGGCTTTAATCAGAGCAAAGAACGCATGTGGAGATCCTAGATTGCTCAAGTCTGTTTACTGTATTTTAGCAGTAACCTTAATCAAAGTGATTGCAGGTTTGAAAACGGAGCCATGTATACTTTGTTTCTCCTCCTCACTACAAAGTGTCAAGTATTTTTCTCGCTGAATTTTAGGATGCGCTTAAGCAAATCCCATCACAGTTGTCCACTGGTCAGGAGCAATAACCTTTTATCCCCTTGCCAACAGGAATCGAGCCCTTCCCCCTTCCAACGCGCTCTGCCAAAAGCTGTACAGGCAAAGGAAGAAGGGTCGTTAGGAACGGCAGAATTCCCCATCCACGTCTCCCTAATGATCCCCTCAATAAATACACACCCACACTCACACCCCAGAACGCTGGAAGTAACTTTGTGGCAACTTGGATCGCATTCCAGTTTGAACCCATTGTTCCGCTTGGCCTCCCTTTAGAACAGTCTCGGAAACCTCCACCGTGAGCACCCGCGGCAAGAGGTGAATTATTTTTTCCCTTCCTCGTTTTCCTTTCAGAACGCTATATTTGTTGGATCCGGTTCAAACGCGGGGCATCTAAACCGACGAGCTGGGCCAGCAAAAGTTCCGCTTTTACACCGCGCTTCAGCAAAACTTTTCTCCAGCAGACCCGCCCACTCTTCTTAATGCCCAAGTCGGCTATAACTCAATGACCGAGCGCTCCTGTTTTAGCTACGGGGGGGGGGGACAACCAAAACCCACGGCGTGTGTTAAGCCTAGTGAACGAAGAGTAAAATCGCTACACGCCTCTGTGCACCCGTCTATATGTGCAGACGTGTGTAGAGAGATACGAAGCAAAGCATCATGGCGGTGGAAAAGTTTCCAGCGTGAACTTTCGGCAAATTTTCTCCGTTGTTTCCCTCCCCCCCCCCCCCGCCCCGCCAGCGATGGTCGCTCGGCTGTTCCTTCCCCCAATCGGCAAGACCGACCCGGCGCCTCAAGCCGATCCCTCGCCCAAGTCGATCCCTTTCACAGGCCCAGGCAGACCTCGCTCCAATTTAAGACGCAGCTTTTTTGCACGGCAGCCGATCGATCGGTCGCCGGAGTTTGCATTTTTAAACAAGAAGGAGGGGAAACCAAGAGCTTTTCCCCTCCAAAATCCATACCAGGGTTGACCTAGGAAAGTTTTTTCCCCCCTCCCGGCTGTGTCACGGCTGACATTGCAACCTTGGGGGGGGGGAGAGGAGGCGGGAAGGGCGCGCCGAGCGGCAGGCGCACCCACAGGGCCCCCGATGGCCAAACTGGAAGGCATTTACCTCGTTCCTTTGGAGCTGCAAGATGCTGTTGAGATAGCTGGAGCTGAGCGAAGAGCCCAGGTCGGCGGCGTTCTTGCTGGGATAGTTCAGCTCCGGATGCTGGGAGGAAGGCGGCTCCGGGCGAAAGGCATCGAAGGCGCTGGCCTGGTGCGTGTCTTGCAAGGACAGATAGACCCAGTTGAGAAGCTGGGCAGGCTGGTAGACCGAGGCAGCGCTGGTGTCGATGGCTGACAACAGGCTCATCCTTGCCCTCCCGAAGCGGCAATGGCTCGCTCCCCCTCCCTCCCTCCCTCCCTCTTCGCGAGGGTCCCTTTCTCGAGCACTGGGTGACCCCCCCCCCTCTATCCAACCCCCGCCTTTCCTCCGCGAGGTCTGTCTTTCTGACCCACGGGTCTCTTCAGGAGGGAGGGAAAGAAGGACGGAAGGGGGCTTTCGCTTGGCCTCCCAACTTTTTCCAGCTCTTAAAACTTTCCTCTCCCTCCCTTTCCTAAGGCGATCTCAGCCCTCCGACCTCCAGCACGCCGCCCACCTCCAGCATAGCGGCTGATCGGCTGTTGCTGCTGCTCCAGCAGCAGCAGCCAAGTTAAGTCACAAACTTTCTTTGGCTTTCCCCCGGCCCTCTCCTCTCGGGCGCCGATCCGCTATCTGTCTTTATTCCCACTCCCTTGTTCTCTCCCCACCCCCCTTGGAGGGCGGGGCTTATTGAGTTATACAGCAACCGCGGCCTGCGTTCCAGCGGACTGCCTCATTGAATATGTATAACTGTTGGGGGGGGGAGGAGAGAGAGAACCGAAGGAGAGGAAGGTTATTGGTGCACGAAAGATCCGTGCAGAGACCAAAATTTGAATGTTGGCGAAGCTGCGGGCCAATCAGAAGAGCGGACACGCCTCCTTCGCTCTTTTCCACCCCCGCCTCCAAACCCAAAGAACACACAGGACGGGTCGAACGTGGCTGGAGTTCTGAGACCCAAAAGAGGAACAACTTTGGTGGGTCGGATCCGGCAACTTTGCATCGGGTTAGCAGCTGGGCCCAACCAGATGCCGTCGGGAAGTCTCCATGATGTTCCAGGAGCCTTGGTTTCTCAAAGACAGACCCCCTGACGGTGGAGATCTTTGGAAGCTGGGCTGTCATTCCTGGGACTGGCTTTCCCTTCCCACTTTTTCGTGGTTTCCTTCCTCTGCTTTAGTGAAGTTGTAGCATTAGGGGTTTCTTTCTTCTTTGCAGATTTCCAGAAGTGGCGTTTGCCTCAGAACTTGCAAAGTTACTTCAAAAAGTTATTAGTTACTTGCATTTTCCAAGCCTTGGTTCAGTCCCAGTGGTGGGGACATTTCTTAGTTCAACCTCCAGGCTGCCTCTGCGTCCCAATTAGTTGCCATTATAATTATTATTTTTTAAAGTGGCTCTTTGCATTCCCACTTCTCTAAAGTAACTAAAACTGATACTTTGAAGCAGGGGTGGGCAACTTGTGGCTCTCCAGATGTTTTTTTAAAATTTAAAAGGTACATCTAAATGTTACAACTTGCTGATGGGGATGCTAAACATATTTTAATGGTCATAAGAAGAAGTAAGCTTGCTGGATAGCCCAGTGGTTTAGGTATCTGCCTGCGGAGCCAGAGGTTAGAAATTCGATTCCTCTCCTGTGAGTAGAGCCAGCCTGTGTCACCTTGAGCAAGTTGCACAGTCCCAGGATGACCCCAGAAGAAAGAAATGATAAACGACTTCTGAGTATTCTCAACCTGGAAACCCCTGAAAAAGGTCACCATAAGTTATAATTATTATAAGAAGAGATATTAGTCAGCTCTGCATATTCTCTTTGTGCTCCTTCAACCCCCCAAAAGAACATGAGGTATGGAGGCAGCATCACAAGGCAGCATCTAAACCATGTGATCTATTCCATTTCTACTATGTAGTGAGGCAACATGCTGGCAACTAGAAAAGCAACTTTAAAAGTTACACAAAAGAAACAAAGTTATGTCTTGGTAAATTACAACAACAATAAGTTAAAGTAATCATGGCTAAAATCCTTTTAAAGGTTCCCCTTGACAATTTTTTTTGTCCAGTCGTGTCCGACTCTAGGGGGCGGCACTCATCCCGCTCTTCAAGCCATAGAGCCAGCGTTTTGTCCGAAGACAATCTTCCGTGGTCACATGGCCAGTGTGATTTAGACACGGAAAGCTGTTACCTTCCCACCGAAGTGGTCCCTAATTATCTACTTGCATTTGTATGCTTTTGAACCGCTAGGTTGGCGGGAGCTGGGACAAGTGACGGGTGCTCATTCTGTTGCGTGGCTTTGATCTTACGACTGCCGGATCTTCTGACCCTGCAGCACAGGCTTCTGCGGTTTAGCCCACAGCGCCACCACGTCCTTTTAGTTAAGTGCAAAAGCCTTCGAGAATACATTGGACAAGAACAGCTTTGTTTTTTTGAAGAAAATAATACAAAGTAATTAGTTGTATGCAACTTTGTTTGAATGTAATTATTTTCAAGTTCCAAGTGGCTACCAGTGGCACAATTGCACAGGCAATTGTATCATGAGAAAACGTGTCATTATTCCCATTGAAAATATGTCATTCAAAGTGCCAGAAGATTTGGGATGTCATGAAAGGTCAGCAAATTGTTAATCATTTTCTGCCACACATTCCAAAATAACTTGATCGGTCTGGGATACTCAACCCCTTGACTTAGGGAGTAGGGGTACCATTGTCACTGCGCCTCACTCTTAGATAAGTCATGCAGTTGTGATATAGTGGATATAGACAGTGACATAAAATCATAGTTGCATTCCTATCAACTGTAACGATAAATTTGGATGCTGGACTCCAAGGTCTTATAGGGCCGCGCTTTACAGACAGTTGTTAAAGAGTTAATATACAGTTTGTTTCAGATGCTGAGATACTTAACACATTTGCTTAAGAATCAGCATAGTTTTTATTGCAGAAAATAATGATGTATTTTGAAAGTAAAAAAAAAATTAAATGAGAGTCTGTGATCATGTACATGCCCATCCAACCAACCCAAGTCCAATCTAGCACCAGAAATGCGAAGGAAGTATGCTGTTGGAGGATGCAAAGTTGAGCTCAGAAGGACCTAGCATGTTCATCCAAGGGCTGACACTACCCCTGTCTGCCTCCGCCCGCCCAGTTCGTTCAGGATTCAGGTGGTACTTTGGAGGACCCCTACATTGGAAAGCTGTGACCTTCCATTTTGAAATCCAGACCAAGTTGCTCCACTGCTGCCTCTTTTACACTATGCTTTTGCCCCATTTCCTGGCTCATTTGACTGCCAGTAAAACTCCACTGTCCCTTTCATGGATTGCTCCTTTGTCATGAAGGGGCTTGAGTAATTCATAGAAGCTATGGGCTATGCCATGCAGGGACACCCAAGACGGACAGGTCATAGTGGAGAGTTCTGACTAAACGCAATCCAGCTGGAGCAGGAACTGGCAAGTCACTCCAGTATCTTTGCCAAGAATACCCCATGAACAGAAACAAACGGCTCAAAGATATGATGCTGGAAGATGGGCCCCTCAGGTCGGATGTTGTCTAACATGCTACTGAGGAAGAGCGGAGGAGAGGACAAGTACAAGTAGTTCCAGAGCTAATGAAGTGGTTGGGCCAAAGCCGAAAAGACACTCAGCTATGGATGGACGTGCCTGGAAGTGAAAGGAAAGTCCGGTGCTGCAAAGGAAAATACTGCATAGGAACCTGGAATGTAAGATCTATGAACCTTGGGAAACTGGATGCGGTCAAACAGGAGATGGCAAGAATAAAAATGGACATCCTGGGCGTCAGTGAATTAAAATGGACGGGAATGGTTGAATTGAATTCAGATTATCATACCTACTATTGTGGGCAAGAATCCCACAGAAGAAATGGAGTAGCCCTTATAGACAAAAAAAGAGTGGGAAAAGCTGTACTGGGATACAATCTAAAAATGACAGAAGGATTTCAATATGAATCCAAGGCAGACCTTTCAACATCACAGTAATCCAAGTTTATGCACCAACCACTGATGCTGAAGAGGCTGAAATTGATCAGTTCTATGAAGACTTACAACACCTTCTAGAACTGACACCAAAGAAAGATGTTTTTCTCATTATAAGGGACTGGAATGCTAAAGTAGGGAGTCAAGAGATAAAAGGAACAACAGGAAAGTTTGTTCTTGGAGTTCGAAGTCTGCATTCAGTTTTCTGTAACTTTCCCTGTCTCCCTTGCATTTTGTTTCCCTTCTCTTCTCTGCTATTTGTAAGGCCTTGTTGGATAGCCACTTGGCTGCATTTCTTTTTCTTTAGGATGGTATTTGTTGGGGCCTACTGTACAATGTTACGAGCCTGTATCCAAAGTTCTTCAGCCACTCTGTTCACCAAATCTAGTTCCTTAAATCTGTTCTTCACCTCCACTGTGTATTCATAAGGGATTTGGTTTAGATCAGTGGTTCTTAACCTTTGTTACTCGCATGCTTTTGAACTGCAACTCCCAGAAACCCCAGTCAGGACAGCTGGTGATGAAGGCTTCTGGGAGTTGCAGTCCAAAACTCCCGAGTAACTCAAGGTTAAGAATCAGTGGTTTAGATGATACCTGACTAGCCCAGTGGTTTTTCCTACTCTCTTCAGTTTAAGCTTGAATTTTGCTATGAGAAGCTGATGATCAGAGCCAAAATCAGCTCCAGGTCTTGTTTTTGCTGACTATATAGAGCTTCTCCATCTTTGGCTGCAGAGAATATAATCAATCTGATTACGGTATTGCCCATCTGGTAATTTCCATGTGTAGAGTCGCCTCTTGTGTTATTGGAAAAGAGTGTTTACGATTACTAGCTTGTTCTCTTGACAAAACTCTATTAGCCTTTACCCTGCTTCGTTTTAACCTCCGCCAAACTTTCCTGTTGTTCCTTTTATCTCTTGACTCCCTACTTTAGCATTCCAGTCCCCTAGAATGAGAAGAATGTTTTTCTTTGGTGTCAGTTCATAAAATTGTTCAATTTCAGTCTCCTCAGCAATGGTGGTTGGAGCATAAACTTGAATTATTCTGATGCTGAAAGGTCTCCCTTCGATTCGCATTGACATCATTCTATCATTTTTGAGATTATATCCCATTACAGCTTTTCCCACTCTTTTGTTGACTATGAGGGCTACTCCATTCCTTCTACGTGATTTTTGCCCACAACAGTAGATATGATAATCATCTGAGTTGAATTCGCCTATTCCTGTCTATTTTAGTACACTGATACCCAGGATGTCAATGTTTATTCTTGCCATTGTTTGACCACCTCCAGCTTCCCAACGTTCATAGATCTTACATTCCAGGTTCCTATGCAGCATTTTCCTTTGCAGCATCGGACTTTCCTTTCACTTCCAGGCACGTCCACAGCTGAGTGTCCTTTCGGCTTTGGCCCAACCACTTCATTAGCTCTGGAGCTACTTGTACTTGTCCTCCGCTCTTCCTCAGTAACATGTTGGACACCTTTTGACCTGAGGGGTCCATCTTCCAGCATCATATCTTTTAGCCGGTTGTTTCTGATCATGGGGCATTCTTGGCAAAGATACTGGAGCGGCCTTGCCAATTCCTACTCCAGGTGGATTTCGTTTAGTTGGAACTCTCCACTATGACCTGTCCATTTTGGGTGGCCCTGCATGGTATAGCCCATAGCTTCCCTGAGTTACTCAAGC